GGACACCGTCACAGTAACAGTAATGACCGAACAGCAGGCTGTGTGGAGCTGGCAGGGGGGTTAGTGAGGGATGACCAAATGACTGAATAGCAGGCTGCGTGGGGTGACCAGGCCGGTGGGGGGGTGGGGTACAGTTAGGGGCGATCAGGCAGGCAGGCAGATGAGCAGTTAGGAACCAGCGGTCCCGGATTGTGAGAGGGATGTCCGACTGCCTAAACCGGAAGTCGGACATCCTCTTAATCTCTGCCACCCCATGCATGTAATACTGAGTGTTTCCTTTTAGACCTTAAGTCCCTGGAAAGCTGGAACTGCTGCTTCTTTTAAAGGAGTTTCCTGCTACAGGGCTTAGTTTGTTCTCTTCAGAAAGCAGTGTAGATAGAAATTTAAAATTGTGCACATTAGACATCTTAAGGTGTACTTACTCTAGGCAAAGCAGCAACCTGGTAAGCAGCTCTCGCGGGAAAATGGCTCTTGAAATCTGCATGTAACAGAATTGCGTTTTAGCTCTCAGATGCTGTATTGGTACCCAGCCCTGCAGAACCTGAGCTCTGGGAAGCGCTTCACAGGCTTCTTGGTCCTTAGATACGTGCGACACCAGACAAAGGAGTCACACTCGTGTTTGTTTGGTAAAATATTTTGCCATATGAGTCCTATGCAATATTCTAGTACTTTTTAAAATGTCTTTGTTTTCGGGGGGGAAAGTGAAAATACTCACTTTGATCTTATTTGATGTGAAGGGGGTTATTTTTAAAGTTATAAAACAATTATCTAAATGGGGAAGAGCTGCCCATCCCCAGCGATTCTGGCAGGCACCGCGTCTGTCACTTCGGTTTCCTCTAGCCATTTCTTCACCATAGTACAAAATGATGCTTTTTCCAAGTTACACCTTAGTCTCATCTCACCAGTTGGTAGGGACACCCATATTCTCCATGAAGACAACAATGTTAATAGATAGATAACATTTACTAAGTGCTTCCAACACAATGGCATCTGTTCTAATATGTTTATATAGTTGTATTGACTCTCTGAGGCATTCCAACAACCCTATTAGGTTTTATCCCTGTTTTATATATGAGGAAGCCAAGCACAGAAATGTTCAGTCACTAAACAGTTGATGATTCTGAGAGCCAAAAAAGAGATGGTGGCTAGACCATATCATAGTGATAATAAATACAATCTATGTTCAAAAACCATTAGGAGGGCTTAAAAAGCCTGATAAAGGTGTAACAAAATTAAGCTTTAGGAAAATGGATTTATAGGGCTGTAGTACATTATTCTAGGGAATAGAATATAAATAAATGTCTTGGATTTTCTCATGGAGGCACACTATATGACCATTTTTTTTTTAGCATCTCCTCTCTTAATTCATAATGCATACTCATTGAAGCTAATACATTCATTTCTATTTAAAATGGAAAATGGCAATAAAACTGAATTACTTACACTCTTTGTAGATATCATTGACAGTATTGAAGTCATTTATGTCAGCCAGCAAAACAGTTGTTTTGACCACTAGAAGATACATACATTGTCATTACGGTTAGCTTTTTGGTCTAATCCAAAACATTACTTAAAAAACAATGTATAGTTCTATGACTGTCTTGATTAAAATGGGACTGAAATTAAAATTATTTTAATAAGCAACAAAGATATGGCATGACATATTATGGGATGTCATGTGTTCTCCAAAGAGAGCAAAGAAATACCCAACAGAAACGGGAGTAATACCAAGTTGCTCACCATTACTGAAGTCACAGCCTGCAGCTTTCAGAATTTCACCCATGTTTGTAAGAGCCTGTGAAGCAAGGCAAGAAGGCCTAAGGCATGGATGTTACATTAAAGCAGTAATTCCATCCAATCAATCATCTTTTGCTAATACTTCCTTCAATTGCTTATGTTGCAGAAAAATGTCCCTCTTTTAGGAAATTATACTCTTTCTAGGCCACCTCTAAATAAATCTAAAATAAATCACACTAGATCTATACAACTAAATTAATATGAAAAGGTCAACACATACAGAGTTACATGATGAAATAAAACCAAGATGCAGAATAGCATGCACAATAAGTCATAAGTGTGTGTGTGTGTGTGTGTGTGTACATTTATGCCGGGGTAGGCAATGACTGTCTGTGGAAGGACATACTGGTATAAAGAACAATAATGAAGGAACCTGGGAAGAGGGGGACTAAGGGTGGGATATATCTTTTCACTGCATATTCTTTTTATAGCTTTTGAATTTTTTGCCTCATTTATGTGTTACCTATTTAGATTAATTATTTTTTAAAGAACAAAAAAAATCATCAAATATTATAATGTGACTAGTAAAGCAGAGAGGAAGAATGAATTGACAAAATAATGTTAAAGACAAAGGTGAAAAATTGGTGTTTTTCCAAAGGCCAGAGTGCCAAACATATATAATTTACTAATACTTATTGATTTTTTGAGAAAAAGGAAAAAGAACTCTTCAAAATCAAATATTACTTTAAAAGAAAACATGTTTTAATGCCTGTTAGCTCATACTTATGGTAGCAAAGTGATAGAGCATAGGAACCCCAGAAATCATTTCTGTTTTAGTTTACTGAACTTCACACATTCTAGCACTGAGGAAGCGACTTTTTATTCACAAAAGGAGATCATGGCTCATCCCATTTCAGGCAGATCATTCAATTGGAGGAAGGCCAAGAAGCGATTCACTTATAAGAATTATTGAACTGCCCAGCCAGTGTGGCTCAGTAGTTGAGCATCAACCTATGAACCAGGAGGCTGTGGTTTGATTCCAGGTTGGGGTACATACCTAGGGTTGTGGGCTCGATCCCCAATGGGAGGCATGCAGGAGGCAGCTGTCAATGATGATTCTCTTTCATCATTTGTGTTTCTATTCTCTCTCCCTCTCCCTTCCTTTCTGAAATCGATAAAACTATATTTTTAAAAAATTAAAAAGGTAGACCAGTTTAGGAAGCTTTTTTTAAAAAAAATTATGATTTAACCGGATCTTTATGGATATTACAAATGACTCCATGAATGCATTAAATTATAACTTAATTCCACTTATTGGATTAAACTGTATTCCCCAGTATTACTTAGAAAACATACTGCATGTAATCTTTGATATTTTTCTCTTACTAACAAATGCTGACTTCTACTTCTGTGGTGGTGAGGTTGTTTATGTGCGTCAGTGGTCCTGATAAAAAAAATTTCCCAATCCTATGGAAGTGGCAAGGTGCTATCTGATTTCATTAATTCAGGGGCTCCCACCCCCAGTTTTATTAAAATATAATTGACATATAACATTGTACTAGTTGTAGGTGTATAACATGATAATTTGATAGAAGTATTATTGTGAAATGATTACTATAATAAGCTTAGTTAACAGCCAGTAATTCAGATTTAAAGTCACTTTGGAAGGAATAATCTTTTTGTTTGTATATTTGTTTTACTGGTTGGTTGTTAAATGATTCATTAAATTTCCAACTTTTGCCCTGACTGGGTAGCTCAATACGATAAGGTTGCAAGTTCGATCCCTGGTCAGGGCACATACAAGAATCAACGAATAAATGCATAAACAAGTTAGAATAGCAAATAGATGTTTCTCTCTCTCTCTCTCTCTCTCCCCCTCTCTCTCTCTCTCTCTCTCTCCCTTTCTCTCCCTCCCTCCCTCCCTCTCCTTCTCCCTCTCCCTCTCCCCCCCTTTCTCTTTCTAAAATCAATTTTAAAAAATTAATTTTTCCCCCCTTTCTACTGACATGCAATTGTCTTAAATCAATCAGTAAGTAACTTAAAAAGCATTTATCTGGTAATTTATCTAAAACAAACCAGCCAAGTGGGTTTTTAATACTCCTCAAAATTAAAAAGTAATAGGGAAGAAAACATCAAATGTGGAAAATGACCTACTTGTTTAGCTTCCTCTTTCACCCCTCCTGGCACAAGCTGTCCACTGGAAGGGTCCATGCCCAGCTGTCCTGAGATGTAAAGGGTCCTGTCGACTAACACAGCTTGACTGCAGTGAACAGATAGATAAAATAGAAACAGAAAATGCAGGGCTGAAAGATTTCTTTGCTAGGACACAAGCACAAAATGTAAAATTAAAAAAATGATCAACTTTATTAAAATTGAAACCTTTTGCTTACTGAAAAATGTCATCAGGAAAACGAAACACAAGTCACACGGAGAAAATATTTGTAAAACATATACCTTAAAAAGGACTTGTCTACAGAATGTATAAAAAAACTCTTATAACAATAATACGAAGACAAATAACCCAATAAAAAATGGGCAAATGAAGTATAAATAGTTTATGTTCCGTTTTCATTGTTGCTACATATGGAGATATACCAGTTTTTCATGGAAAAGAATTAAGGAAAATTTACCATGCCATCTGTATTTATGCAGAGTCTCGTTTAAATGGAAACATGTTTTAAAAATACAATAAAAAAGAAAAAGTAGGACAAAAATTGTGTGTCCTCTGATCTTGCTCTAAAGATTGAGTGTGCAGGGATACAATGCTTTTTCTTGCTGGCAAGGTTCTTGCTAATAGAAGCCAGAACCAACAAAGCTGGAGAAGCCTCTATGTCTGCCCAGCCAGGAAGTATCTGGGCAGTAGGCACTGTTTTGCTAAGAAGGTGGCTTAATTTTAAAAAGGCTAGAACCTTCCCTAAATCTGTTTTCACCCCAACACAAAAGCCTTGTTTTACAAAATCGTGTAAGCAAGATTAATGATATGATAGGAGAGATTCACCCCAACACAAAAGCCATATTTTACAAAATCTTGTAAGCAATTCGTGATATGATAGGAGAGGCCTTGGTGAAGCTCTCTGAACTCTGGATGATTTGTGATTGGGAGCGGAACAATGAAGGCCTCTTTCGGTGACATTCTTCAAGTCTCTCAAGTCAAGGCTTTAAAGGAATTGTTATGTGAAAGTAATGCTGTTTTCTTTCAGCATGTACCCGAATGGAATTCTGATGCTTCTTAGTGAAGCTGGTTCTCTTTTTTGTCCTTTCAGAGCATGCTGATGCCATCAAGAATTGTTTTGCGAACCCACCTTGGAAACGGGAAAGACCATAGAGATCAAACAGTGAAACGTGGCTTGTCATTAAAACCGCCGGAGCGCCTGGTAACACGGCTGGTTTTGCTGCTTTGGTGAAGGAAGGCGCTCCCTAGGTCGCTGTGAATCACTGCTTTTACATTAGCATCAAAGACTGGCCTAATGATCATGAAAGAAGTCTTTCCATTGTCTTAAGAGCCACACTTTATTTGAATCACTGACCTGTTAAGAGCTTCTCTAAAAAAAATAAATTACAAAAAGGGAGAATATAAAGTTGTTTTCTATTGCAGATAAATTCACTGATTCTCCAAAGAACAAGCCTCTTTGCTCTGTGGAATTTGGAGGCCACTTGCCGCTTATGTAAAACTTGGTGAATCAGGGAGCCCAGAAAGCTTGTAGCAGTCTACGGGATTGTTTCGGCCACCGGGGTGTTAAAAACCATTGTGCTCACTGCTCCAGCTCTTTATTTAAGAGAAACAGTAGCACCCTTCTAACTGATGTTGATTTTTGTGGAATTAATTTTAATTTTCTTTTAATTCTAATATTCCTCCTAGTCTAAGCATCCTTTTTAAATTGGGAGAGTTTAATCTGTTTAAAATAATGTGTTCATTCATATACTTAATTATTTCTGTTATCTTATTCTTAGCTTTTCCATGTCTTATTCTTTGACTCTCCCCTTTTCTGACTTCTGAAGTATTGATTGAGTTTTTCTTATTTCCTAAAATTCTGGTTTGGCAATAACATATTTTTTCTAATTTAGTAATTACTCTTGCATTATTACATACATATTTGACTTAAATTCTCACGTTTATCCAGCTTCCTCTGAGTAGTACGAGGACTTAGAACTCCAACTCAGCTCTCCTCTCCTGTTAGTTCTATTTTAGTTCTACCGCATTTCCACTTCACCTCTTCCCAAGCCCCTAGCCCCCAACTTCGTATATTTTTAGTTTCTTCACAGTCAGGCTTATTTAGATTTACTTACATGATTTTTTGCACACACTCCTTATTGCGGTATAGTGTGTGTGTGTGTGTGTGTGTGTGTGTTTCCAGCAGGGGCTTGTTTATATTATTTTTTTTCCACTTTGAAGAATTCTTTATGGTCCTCTGCCTTGGTCATTGCTGACTTGGTGTTTGCTGTCAGTGATGTCTTGCCTTTCTAGGTAGTCTGTTTCCTCCCTGTTTGATGTTAAGGGTTTCTCTCTGCCTTTGATGTGTTCTGCATACAGTATAACACAAGGCCCCAGGACATGCAGCAACCTTTCTTACTGCTTTGCCAGGCTAGTGGAGTTTCCTAGTCCTCTTCCACCGCTTCTCACTGTAGCCCTTCCTAGGCTGTTGAGGGGTCTCTTCCCAGTACCTCAAACTTACACACCCAGGACATTGTCTTCTAAAGTAGGAATTTTAGGACTCCAGCCCCTAGGGCCTGTATCTAGGTCTCAAATCCCCATGGACTTCATATTTCAGCTCATTCTTTTGGCTCTGATTCGATTTCTCTGTTTGTTCCTGGCACTTGGGACTCTCCCTTTTCAGATTCACCATTTAAAATGTGTTTAACAGGAGGAGAAATGGCCTTGAAAACAAGAGTTCTTTTCTTTCTTTCTTAAGAGTTATTTTCTAGTGGAATCAAAGACTCTGAGACAAGGAGACTTTCAGAGTGCTATTGTAAGTGTTAGCTGAAGTGTATAATATGCCCACAGCTCTAACTTCTTACTGATTGCTTGTCTGCCTAGTCTGCCCAGGGACTTCAAGGGCTCTTTCTCATATATGCGTTACCTGTTGAACTTGAGGAGTCTGTTGAAGCCTGTGATCATCTCAGGCATGTCCAGATTATATCGGACTAACTACTCTAGAAAGAGTATGCGATGCTTCTGTAAACTGATCTTTCTACAGAAAAACTCTGCCATGATCTAAGGCAGCGGTTCTCCCAGGGCGTCCCTGAATCCTCAGAAGCCACATTACCTGGGATGGTACAGTGCACACTGTTCCCATGCCATTGGTTAGACATCTTCTTCATCATGATTCTTAAGTTAAAGTTTGAGAAAATGTTTGAACTCAGGGTGGTCCAGTGATGGATACTTTGAATAAATAGGTGAAGTATGAAAAAAAAGTGGGCAAATGATTTGAACAGATAAAAGAAGACCTATGAAGAGCTAGGGAGTTCTGCATATGAAAGACACCCAACATATTAGCTATTTACAGAAATGTAAACCAGAACCACAATAAGACACCACCACACACAATAGGACATGATTGACAGTAAATATTGGTGAGGATGTGGGGCTCCTGGAACCCTCATACATTGTTGATGGGAATGTAAATAGTATAGACACTTTGGAAAATAGTTTGGCAGTTTCTTAAAATTTTAACATACAATCCAGCATTTTCTTTCCCAGGCAAGAAAAATTAAAAGTCTAAAGACTTTACATGAATATTAAGAACATCATTATTATTGACAGCAAAAATTAAAATTTTTTTAAAACAACCACAGATAGATTCAACTAAAGGCTATATATTATTTGATTCTATTTATATGAAATTCTAGAAAAGATAAAGGAATAGCAGCAGAAATTAGACTATTGGCTGCCTGGGCCCATAGGAACAAGGGAATTTTTCTTTTGCGGGGGGGGGGGGGGGGGGGGGAATGTTTAAAAAATTTTTTCCTTTATACTTTTAAATATAAAATTTATAATTTTTTAAACAAGAGAACATTCACATGGTTCAAACATCCAGAAACTATACAAAGAATCACAGTGTAAAGTCTCTCTTCTATCCTTATCCTCTATCTTTTCAGTTCCCAGCCCTACAGATAACCATTACTCTTCTCTATACATTCTCCCAAAGTTTCCTCATGCACATGTGAATAAAAATGTTCTCTCCCCATTTACACTACACCTAGTATGCTTTATTCACTCCACAGTATATCATGATTTTCCCAGACATATACAGGGTGTCTCCCAAAAATGTATAAACACTTCAACAACTGATAGCTCAATTCAGAAAATGAAATGTATTTTAATAAACACTGCGTTTATAATTATTCAAAGTGTGTGTATACATTTTGGGGGGACAACTCCATGTGTAGACTGCTTCCTCATTCTTTTGACAGTGGCACATTTCATTGTCTGCATCTACTTTAACTATTTACATTGATTCCAATATTTTGCTACTGTAAACACAACTACATTGAAAACCATCTCTCTCTCTCACACACACACACACACACACACACACACACACACACACACACGTTTTTCCTAAGCAAAGCTAAGCCTTTCTGTCTTCTGAGCCCCAGAGGTCCTCTGGTAAAGCCTTTCTTATACCAGGCACAGGGGGATATAGTTAGTTCTATTCTTATCCTAACTCCCGGGTGTGCCCGACTGTAAACTCCTTGAAGGCAGGGGCAGTGCCTTCTTATGTCTCTGGCTGTGCAGGGCCTAGGTCAGGGGTCCTCAAACTTTTTAAACGGGGCCAGCTCACTGTCCCTCAGACCGTTGGAGGGCCGGACTATAGTTTAAAAAAAACAACTATGAACAAATTCCTATGCATACTGCACATATCTTATTTTGAAGTAAAAAAACAAAAACGGGAACAAATACAATATTTGTATTTGCATGTGGCCTGCGGGCCGTAGTTTGAGGACCCCTGGCCTGGGTGATTCCTTACACATAGCGGGAACATGGTAACTTCTTGATGTTTTGTTCTCTAACCACTTGGCAGCTTCAACAACCTGGACTTTCACTAAAGTATCTTTTTTGGAGGACCTACTGGCTTTTAGTGTGGGTTGTGGAGAACTGAAGAGGTTAACTTTAAACTTGGTAACAGGATTTAGACAGTCTGGGAATTCTTCTCCACCATCTGGCTTCACCCTAGCCCACACATAGGTAACTGCTGAGTTTGTTAATGTGTCAGCTTTTCTTGGGTTAAATAGTACTGCCAGCTAGCATTGTCTTTATTAACTGTTCTGTGCAGAATGAGGCTATCCTCGGCCCTTCAAAAAGTACCTTTAACCTTCCCCATATCTGAAATGTAGTTTAAGCCCATACGCATTATCATTAAAATATTTTTTCCACCATAAAAAGGAACTCATTTATTCTCAGAAAATCTAAAATAAGCCCTGGACTTCTGAGATGATCAGAGCTATGTGAGTTATCTCTTTTTTTTTTTTTAAATCCTCTGATGAGGATTTTTTTTTAAAATATATTTTATTGATTTTTTACAGAGAGGAAGGGAGAGAGATAGAGAGTTAGAAACACCGATGAGAGAGAAACATCGATCAGCTGCCTCCTGCACATCTCCTACTGGGGATGTGCCCGCAACCCAGGTACATGCCCTTGACCGGAATCGAACCTGGGACCTTTCAGTCCACAGGCCGACGCTCTATCCACTGAGCCAAACCGGTTTCGGCGAGTTATCTCTTATGAGTTAGTAGAGGTTGTTCACAAACATAACTGGATAGCTGACACGTCCTGGGCATAAGAATCCTACCTATAGACAAGTCATTAGGCTCCAGAAAATGTAAAAGCATGTTGTTCTACAACCAAGTCAAAGGGTAATAAAACTCTTCAAAAAAAACCTGGTATTAATTCTCACATCATAATCTGTGCCTCCTGGACCATCACTTCAACATTATTACTATTGGATGGTGTGCTAGCAAAAGCAATGCAATAGCAACGTGGTGTGGCAATCTCTCAAGGTTCTGACCTGAAGTCTCCCTGAAATGTGCTGACTGATTAGCTAATTAGTGACAACACCCCATCCATCCCAATGCCAGGGACTGAAAGTTCAACACATCTGAATTCCTCCTGGAGAGGACCCAGAATTTTCAAAAAGTGCACTCCATGCACCAAAACTCTTGTTTCCAAATGGTTATAAAACGTGTCCAATTCACTTCTTCAGGATATAAATTGTTAGTTGGAATTTTTTTTTCTCCATAAAATATTGAAAACTCGTACCATGTGAAGTGGCCTTGTATCATCTTTGGATACAGAAAAGCACAAGATGCACAATGTCCCGAAAAGTCCCCACACAATGAGCTCTGGTTGATGGCTTTCCCCTCGTCCTACTTGCATATTCTCATAAAGATTCCTCTTTTTTGTTGCAGCTTTACAGGTAGTTGAGCCCTGCCTTTGAATCAATCAGGGATATTACTCTCATGCTTTCTTTCTTGAACAAAGTACATACTGGAAGAAGGTGTACGCTCCAGGCTTTATAATCCTCTACCCCTTTTTTTAAAAAAATGTGTTGATTTCAGAGAGAGGGACAGGGCGAGAGGGATAGAAACATCAATGATGAGAGAGAATTATTGATCGACTGCCTTTTGCATGCTCCCTACTGGGGATCGAGGAGGAAGTCTGGGCATGTGCCTGGACTGGGAATTGAACCGTGACCTCCTGGCTCATGGGTTGACATTCAACCACTGAGTCACATCAGCCGGGCTATAACCCCTTTGTTTTTGTTAAGGGTCACGGAAGTAAAACCATTGGGTGATTGAGGGAGAAGGATCAGGGCAGAAGAAAAAAGATGACTGATTTTTACTTTTATTGTATACTCCCTTAACTATTCTTAATGTCTTCTCAAATTACTATAATTCTCTTC